GAGTACTGTGCAACAATATATTCGAGAAGTGGTGTAAATCAGATGTGGATACTGAAAAATTCCAAGAAACTTTTGGAAAATTTGAAATCCTAAGATTTTACCAAACTCAACAGCTTAAGAACTTACGACTTTTCAACTTTATACACAACCATTCCCCATGATAAATTAAATTCCAGGCTTCTTGATTTCATTTACAGCTGCTTTTTCAATAAAAATGGAACTTGTAAATTTACTTACCTTGTCATTGGTCATTTGCATAATTATTTTGTTAAAAACATTCTGATTGTACACACAAGTACTCTGAAGACAGAAGTTGACTTTAAAAAGATGCTTGAATTTCTGATTGACAATACCTATATGGATTTTGGAGACCAGGTCTTCCAACAACCTATTGGAATTCCCATGGGTACCAATTGCGCCCCGTTATTAGCAGACCTTTTTTGTATTCATATGAAGCAGAATTTGTCCAAAATCTTACATGTATACATGGAAAGAAGAAAACACTTGCTGTGGCCTTCAACTCGACATTTAGATATATCGACGAAGTATTGTCAATTAACAATGGTTATTTCCATTCTGTCGATATGATGAGCTTGAGATAAAAGATACCACACATCTGTTTCATATTTGGATATTTTACTTGAAAAAGACGTTAACGGTAATCTAACAACCAAGCTTTATGATAAACGTGATGACTTTAACTTTTCAATCGTCAACTTCCCTTACTTATGCAGCAATATACCTTCATCACCTGCATACGGGGTTTATATTTCTCAGTTGATTCGATACGCAAGAGCATGCTCTACGTATGTACAATTCCTAAAACGAGGTAAATTACTGAGAAACAAGTTGATGAAACAAGAATATCAGCAGTCTCTTTTAAAGTCATCATTTCGTAGGTTCTATGGTCGATACAATGACCTCGTCAGCAAATACAATTTATCATTGAGTCAAATGCTGACTGACGTTTTTCATACTAATTGTTAGGCCATTATTTACACACTGAATTGTCGTCGGATTTTTCCGTTATTTCCAAGTCATGACAAGGAGCACACGGGGGGTGTGACCGGTCTGCAGGGGATGCTCACTCCTCCATGGCACCTGATCCCACCTCTGATGTTTTAGAGGTCCGTGTTTGGTCTGCTCCTATTTTCTATTGTTAAATGGACTTTTGAGCTTGAATACTGTTTGCTATCTCCATATATTTCATCCATAAGTTTAAAAAAATCATGTTTTAAATTCATACATTATATTTATTTTTTAAGAAAATAAAATAATAAAATAAAGTCTGTCCTATTATCCTAAATTTCAGTTGATCATTTGCCGAAACTAAATTTTTGCTCTTCCAATGTGAAATAAAGTTTGTTTTAATTTCCGGTCTTCCATACATTGGTGACATGAACTGCTCTCGATACAAATTTCAAATATTTGGCTTGCAATGATTGTAAATTTAACCTTTTGCTCCCAACTTGCATAATTTTGGGGAAAAAATTGTCATCTGAAATAACATTTATATTTTGATTTGAATACATGTAATGTTGACTTTACTTTTTTGTAACTCCGTTTACCACCCTCCAGCCCATGTTAATTGAACTTTGCACCGATTCTTTTGCTGACTATTTTCCTATCACACTTCCCATGAAAACATTATTAACACCAATCTACACAATATCATGGTGATGCTTCAATATCAATATGACTGAAATGGCCTTGCTATTCTGATAAAAGATTTTTAATTTTATTTCTATAAACATGCATGATATGGAAATCCAATTTTAGATTCATACTTATCCACAGCTATGATTTGAAGAGATAAAAAAGAGGCCCATATCACTCACATGAACATACTGGCTACGAAAAAGCAGAAATCAGCTTAGTATTGAAAAGTTTAAATGTAAAGATTTTTCCTATGCTGATCCCCTGCTATGAACCCTCTATACTCCTGGGGTGGTCATGATTTGAATCTGCATTATCTGAGAATGCTTCTATATTATTATGACCAATCATGGCTTTGTTGTTCTTGAGCATAAATTTTTAAAGATTTTTCCTATGTAAAACTTTGATCGCTCATTGTGACCCACTCTCTGAAAGTTTGGTCTAGGTAAGGCATATAGTTACTTGGGGATGGACTTCAACCAAAAACTTTAACCTGGTCACTCATATAAAAAATGCAGGTCAGATCCAGCATCCGAAGCAAGTCAACTTCGTTGAAGTGAGCTAAAAAGTGTAAAAAAAAAAAAGGTAAAAAATAGATGTCCATCTACATCAAAGTTTTATCCATACAAATTAACTTATGAAAATTGGTCTAAAATTGTGTAAACTTTTGAAAAAGGATGAGTGGAGGAGTGGACAGGATCCAATTATGACAAAACACCCTCAGTTGTATTATCTTATTACAGGTTTATGTATGGTACATGTAATCATTATTTATGGTATTGGAGATGCAAAAAGGTAACCATTATTTAATACAAATGAAAAATAATAATTATAATTTTATTTTCATTGCAAACATTCCAAATAAAAAACTTTGAAAGAAAACGGCCCTTATTGCAGCTTTGAAACCTCAAAGTTTATTTCAACATGCAATACATTGATTGTTGTCTTCAAGAATTGGGTATTGGCTAGATATTTTGCATTGCGATATATTGCGATATTTTTAACTGTATTGTGATATGTACTGCAATATCTTCAACAAAAAATTTAAATGGTATTTTCTTATTTTATCTTCCTTTTACATACAGAAGATACATAACTTTGATAAATAACCAATAAAAAGATATCTTGTTGATTGAATTACAGTTATGCAACGAAATACACCAATACAACAACTGTTGTCTTACTGATTGGCATGATCGCAAGCCTTTCGGACAACTTTTCTGTATATTTTATGATAGAATTCCAGAGTCCAAGCATTTTGCTGGTATACCAGTATTACAAAAATGTATTGCAATATGATATTTTTTGTCAACATACCGCAATATTCTGAATATTGGTATTTTTGCCCAGCCCTATATTTTAAAAATGCGCAAAAAGCTATAACAGTATACAAGCAACATGTATTCATAAAATCAAGTACGTAATAAAAAGTTTGTACATGTATATGTCCTAAAACAAAAAAAAAAAAAAAAAAATACTATATTGAGTGAAAATGAACATGTATTTGTTTACAGATTTTAAATGGCAGTAGAAGACATGAGTACATAATTACACATGTATGTCCTACATTCTCAATGCAACTTCTTCAAAAAAGTTTTTTTTTTTTTGGATTTGGCTTGGTGTTAACCAACTTTTATTCACATGCCAGACATATCCACATGCCAGACATATCCACAAGTTTTGTGACCTTGCATTACGCATTTTTATCGCAAAAAAAAATCACTTCACTGTACATTTATGAAAAATATTCTATCAGCCAAATTATGCCTCTAAAATGCTTTGAAATCGAATGCCTGCAAAGTTCAAAAAGTAGGTCACTGTGACCTACTTTTTAATAATTATGTTTTTTGGCCCCAAGATGCATCATCTTACAAGATTTAATGATTCTAAGCCTCCCCGTATTCGAATTAATGACCTTAATTGTTTTAAAAAAGATTAGCCATTAAATTCAAAAAGTAGGTCAAGGTGACCTACTTTTTAGTCGACGTACTTTGAGGACTCAAGATGCATCAACTGACAAAGTTTGATGATCATAGGCCTTAAATTGTTCAAAATATGTCTCTAAATCATTTTGAAAAAGAATGGCCGCAAAATTTAAAAAGTAGGTCACCGTGACCTACTTTTGAGTCAACATGATATGAGGTCCTTAGATGCACCAACTGACAAGATTTGATGATCCTAGTCCTTATAGTAAGCAAAATATCAACATTTTAATAAAATGTAATTTTTGGTCAACTTTGAAGTGACCTTGAGACCACGCCCTTTGCCCCAGGGTAAATCCCCGTGCAAATTTTAATCTACAACATATCCTCATCCTTTTGTGTAAGTTTGGTGATAATCTGCCCAGTGGTTCTTGAGAAGAAGATTTTTTAGCAACCAGTACTTTTGCTTCTATTTTCCTAATTATCTCCCCTTGTTAAAGGGTCACAACCCCAGTTTTAGTATAAAAGGGAGCCCTTGGGCCAAGGATACCCTGTGACAAATTTGACAATAATTGGCCAAGGGGTTCTTGAGTTATGGCCCATATTCTAAAAAGTTTACGCACACCGCACACCGCACAAATGGCCATAACATTAGCTCTTTGAGCCTTTGGCTCAGAAGAGCTAAAAATTGTTGGTTTACAGTACTTCATATGAAATATATTTTCACAATCCACTTCACAGACAACAAATACATTTCATTGTATGACATAATCACATTAGTACATACAATTTTCTGAAGTCACTAAACATACACGACAAAAACAATATCCTAGTATATCTAATACAGCAATGTTTTAACTACAAGGAAAAAAAATACATACATTCAATGACAAAATCTACTACAATAGAAACCTAGATTTCACAAATGCAAATACTGAAGGAACGGTTATTTACAACGGTGGTTAAGTCAAGTTGGTGTAAAATTGGTTGTTGTGTATTTTCTACTCCAGTAAATCTTGTATAGGATATACCCACATAAAATTTTCCTGAATTCACCGGCAAAATGCTAAACAACTCCTTGCAAAATTTTACAGTTATACACACTGACATAACAAAAAAGTAAATAATTTTTTCTTTTCCATAGAGGTTAAAATTAACAAAAATTACATTTTTTCTATATCTTCTTTTTTTTTTTTTTTTAAATTTGAAAATATTGAACTAACATTTTTTTTTGTTGAAAAAATTTATAGTTGAAATTTAATTCACCAGAAAACTTCTCAAACTAAGTATTTCTAAGCCCATGTGTAAATAACCACTTGTACAGACATTGATTTTGTTCTATACACAAAACTAACAAATTTATTTTTGGCCATCAATGAAAACATATTAGGGGCTACTACATACATGTGTGTACAACCTTCTAAGAAGTGTTGTTTCTAATCCCACAGTAGGATACTCAAAGAGTTTCAAAGTGTAAAAGCAGATCTATGATAGACAAAGACACTAATCCATATTTTACAGATCATCAACACAGATCTATATCTGGTTCGTTTCATTCACAAGATTGTAAGTCAAAAGAAATCTTGTCCTACATCAATGATCCGTATCTAAGTATTCTATTACTGGAGCCCTGTGGCTTCTCCTACTTTAGCCCTGCCATCAGTAACATGATTGGACAGTGGTCACTACCCATAACTTTCTGTTGGATAACACTGTCACACAGGTCTTTCTGGAGTCGCTCGGAGATCACAAAGTAGTCCAATCGCCTGTCAAATAAAATCAATTGTACAGCACGACAGTGCGTGACTGAGGAACAAGTTAAAACCTTAATTTCACAATTGTTTCTCATTTGTTTATATTATTAAACACTTTGTTTCATTACTTAATTTGATAATGAGGCTTTTGCATATACAATTGCATAGAGGCATACATGTGATAAGTCAAAGACCACAAAACTGTACAGGAGCCATAAAAAAACTGGAATTTGGGTGAAAAAACTGTACACTGCCTATCAAAGAACGGTACACAAAATGGTATAAAATATCACTTAAATTCTTCTGAAATTCCATCGTAATCATTGTAATAAACATCGTATCTTTTATACCTACGAAGATCTGGGTCAGATTCACGTATATTAAGTCATGTATATCAACCTTACAAGTTGGCTTAATTTTTTTCAATCAAGTTACGTATACGAAACATTAACAGTAATTAAGTACCCCTTAAAAAATAAAGCTACCTAAAGGGGTATTTGATACGGAGTTATAGCAAGATAATTATCCCAATTGGCAGTTCACACCTTCGCACGCGATGGTTTGTGTACACTACACAATTATCAGAAGGTCAAGTGTCAAACACAGGTGACGTTTTCCAGTGTCTCGCGAGCGAGAATGAGGAAAATGGCAACATTTAGCGAGAAATTCAAAATACTGTACAAATTTTCATATTCCGTGAATTTTGGTGTCCCGCCGGTACACGATGAATGGGCTCGAAAAACTGTACATTTTGCGTACAGCCGGTACATATCACATGTATGCATAGAGGAACAAAATTTAAATTATAAAATATTCGATGTTAAAACAGTACTTTATTTATGTAGCTAATATGAGGTTCCTTACTTGTGTATTGAAACAAACAAACATGTAATTAGCTATCAATATTAAACCAAAGACTGTACTAAATGATAAATCCAGGTCTCCCCACTATTCTTATCTTAATTTTTGAAGCATATCCTTTGACAAAGTGACCCAAAATGTTAAGTACTTCAATTCTGTATTGAGATAATATAAAATCTAGATGATTTGTTGCATAAAAGTTTGATCAGCCTGTTGTTCATAGTGTGTCCTTGATTTAGATTATAACTTCTTTTGAACAATTTCCAAACTATGTTGCATATCAAGCCAGTATGTTAAAGTTATAGTTATGGAATTGTAGGAAGCAATACATTCTTTTGCAATTCATTTTCCTGTACTTATCTTTTACTTTTGCTATAACGATCTCAAATTCAATGTATGGCAGTCTTTAAGCATCTTCAATCAGTGTGGTGAAAAGAAATTTTAGACAAACTGATTTTGATGCAGGGTCCAAAGCCACTTATAAGCACTTTTACATGTACCATATATATTCGCCTATAAGTCGGTTTTTTTGGGAGTTAAATTTTGGTCAAAGACTCTATGTCCGACTTATAGGCGAGTCATAAAGAGATAAGTATTTTTCTGGACGGCGTAATGTTGTATTTTATAAACATTTCCCACGATTATCTTTGAACAAAGTCTGGATATATGTCATTTATGTATTCTAAGATTATACATAAAGTACACGTATTTACATATTTAAATAACTTTATTTTTATCTTAGGTGTGCATTATGTATTTTTCTTAATGATTTAAAATTAAATTTCTAAAGAATATTAATCGAAACCAGGTTAAAACATTAGAGCATTGATTTGAAATTGTCAACTGATTCTGGCAAAAAGTTGTACCAACTTATAAGCGGGTCAATGGCAAATCCATCCAAAATAACCTCAAACAAGAGGCCCATGGGCCACATCGCTCACCTGAGCACATTGGCAAGGCAAAAGCACAAATCAGTTCAGTATTGAAAAGATAAGGGGTGGGGGGTGGGGGTGGGGCTTGAATTTTAAACTACCTGATGATGCTTCCATGTCAATATAACAAATGGCTTTATTGTACTTGAGAAGATTTTTAAAAAAATTTCCCATATATATTCCTTTGTAAAAATTTGATCCCCCATTGTAGCTCCTTCCTATCCAAGGGGTGGGTCATCATTTGAACAAACTTGAATCTACACTACCTGAGGATGCTTCCATATCAATATGACTAAACATAGCTTTTCTGTTCTTGAGAAGAAATTTTTTTCTATATGTTCTTATATAAAACTTTCGATCCCCCTATTGGGCACCACCCTACCCTCGGGGGTCATCATTTGAACAAAATTGAATTTACACTACCTGAGGATGCTTCCATATCAAAATGACTAAACATGATTTTCAGTTCTTGAGAAGAAGATATTTTCCTATATGTTCCTATGTAAAATTTTCGATCCCCCATTATGGCCCATCCCTATCCCCTGGGGTCATCATTTTAACAAACTTGAATCTACACTACCTGAGGATGCTTCCATATCAAAATGACAAATCATGGCTTTGAGGTTCTTCATCAGAAGGGCTTTTGCTGTTCCTGAGAAGAAGATTTTTAAAGATTTTTCCTATATTTTTCTATGTAAAACTTTGATCCTCCACTGTGGCCCTGCCCTACCCCCGGGGGGTCAGGATTTGAACAAACTTGAATCTACACTACCTGAGGATGCTTTCATATAAATATGACCAATTAGGGCTTTGCTGTCATTGAGAAGAAGATTTTTAAAGATTTTTCCTATATACTTCTATGTAAAACTTTGATCCTCCATTGTGGCCCCACCCTACCCCCGGGGGTCATGATTTGAACAAACTTGAATTTACACTACCTGAGGATGCTTCCATATAAATAAGACTCATCATGGCTTTGCTGTTATTGAGAAAAAGATTTTTAAAGATTTTTCCTATATATTTCTATGTAAAACTTTGATCCTCCATTGTGGCCCTGCCCTACCCCCGGGGAGTCAGGATTTGAACAAACTTGAATCTACACTACCTGAGGATGCTTTCATATAAATATGACCAATTAGGGCTTTGCTGTTATTGAGAAGAAGTTTTTTAAAGATTTTTCCTATATACTTCTATGTAAAACTTTGATCCTCCATTGTGGCCCCACCCTACCCCCAGGGGTCATGATTTGGACAAACTTGAATCTACACTACCTGAGGATGCTTCCATATAAATATGACCAATTAGGGCTTTGCTGTTATTGAGAAGAGGATTTTTAAGGATTTTTCCTACATATTTCTATGTAAAACTTTGATCCTCAATTGTGCCCCCCCCCCCCCCACCACCGGGGGTCATGATTTGAACAAACTTGAATTTACACTACCTGAGGATGCGTCCATATAAATATGACTCATCATGGCTTTGCTGTTATTGAGAAAAAGATTTTTAAAGATTTTTCCTATATATTTCTATGTAAAACTTTGATCCTCCATTGTGGCCCTGCCCTACCCCCGGGGGTCATGATTTAAACAAACTTGAATCTTCACTACCTGAGGATGCTTCCATATAAATATGACAAATCATGGCTTTGCTGTTATTGAGAAGAAGATTTTTAAAGGTTTTTCCTATATATTTCTATGTAAAACTTTGATCCTCCATTGTGGCCCCGCCCTACCCCCGGGGGTCATGATTTGAACAAACTTGAATCTTCACTACCTGAGGATGCTTCCATATAAATATGACTCATCATGGCTTTGCTGTTCTTGAGAAGAAGATTTTTAAAGGTTTTTCCTATATATTTCTATGTAAAACTTTGATCCTCCATTGTGGCCCCGCCCTACCCCCGGGGGGTCAGGATTTGAACAAACTTGAATCTTCACTACCTGAGGATGCTGCCATATAAATATGACTCATCATGGCTTTGTGGTTCTTGAGAAGAAGATTTTTAAAGATTTTTCCTATATATTTCTATGTAAAACTTTGATCCTCCATTGTGGCCCCGCCCTACCCCCGGGGGTCATGATTTGAACAAACTTGAATCTTCACTACCTGAGGATGCTCCCATATAAATATGACTCATCATGGCTTTGCTGTTCTTGAGAAGAAGGACTACAGACAAAATGTGATCAGAAAAGCTCACTTGAGCCTTCGGCTCAGGTGAGCTAAAAATACAACCAACTTACAGGCGGACCGACTTATAGGTGAGTATATACGGTAGTAAGTACAGATTTAAAAAAAAAAGTCCCACTGAGCTAGATCTATATTTATCTTCAAATCTTCTAATTTACCATCCAATGTTCTTGGCTCGGGCATTCATCATGTATGTCCAGAATGACCAGCAGTCCCTGGCGTTAGGGTACAAGGCACGGAAGGAGTCCACAAAACCCTCCCCCAAGAGCTTGGTGAAGCCCTCCCTCTCCTGGTCCGTGTAACCAGGGGTCTTGTTTCTGTTGGTAGCAGGATTCTTTAGATCTATGATAAAAAAAAAAAAACATATGTAAATACTAAAAGTGCACAAAAAGCTTAAGGTAATTATCATTCTCCAGTAGTTTGGATATGGGGTTGGTTTACCATTTGTAATTCTAAATAAAACAACTGTACAATGTAAAATAAATTGTAAAGATTAATATTACATTGGTTAAAATGTTTTCGAGGGGGGGGGGGGGGGTATCTTTCAAATGTATCTTTATCCAGTTGTAAATGTTCAATATTTTGATTCTGTACCTCTCAAATATATCAAATACAAGTATATCATTTTTATTGACAAATGTTGTTTTTGCTTTAATTTTGCTTTTTTTTTTTTTTTTTTTTTTTTTTTGAAGAGTTAGAATTGTTAAATAAGAGAAACGAGAGATGTTTGTGAAACACTTATGGCACCCCCCCCCCTCCCAAACAATTGGAATTTTTCTAGGTCCAAGGGGCATAACTCTGTCAAAAATTGCTGGATCATACCCAAAATAGAACTTGATCTAGGCATTTTTATGATAAATCTGTATACCAAATTTCATTTCAGTATGTGCAACCTCTGCAAAGAAAATGAACAAAAAATGGTGGACTGACAGATAGACAGACCGACCAACTGACCGACAGCAGCAAAGCAATATGCCCTCCCTCCTTCAAAGGGGGGCATAAAAATATGGATTTTCAAAATAATGATGCAATGAATTTTTCTAAATGTGCAAAAATAATATGAAATCTAAGTAGAATATCATTAACCAGTACCAATAAATGTTAGAACAACTAACATGCAGCTCTTTGCAGTTCGTACTAATATAGAGATCTTCATTCAATTTCAAACTTCCTAAATTAAATTTGATGTGACAAAAGCATATACATGAATATCTTTTCCTACAACATCATAAATTTGCTAGTATAAACATATTTTCATGAAGTTATTGCCATAACATGATCGATTTATGTAACGCAAAGAAAGATAACTCCTGTAACCTTCTTGTAAAGCAGGGAGAGATAACTCCTGTTACCTTCTAAATCCTCTTTCCACAACACAAATTATGTCATATTTTCTGTGAATACCACACACTAATAAACTAGCAAACAATTTTCATACAATTTTAAACACTGTTATAGATGTTGAAAATCATATGTAAGACACATACCCCTCTATGAACCCCACAGAGCTGTGTTTTTCTGTATTTTCTGACTTACCAACAGGGGTGTGGGCCACATTAAGGTCCCCACACATGATCACAGGTTTCTTGGCGTCCAGTTTCTTCAGGTAATCAGTAAAGGCACCGTCCCATTCCTCGGTTCTGTACTTCAGTCGCACCAGCCCTTTACCAGAATTTGGCACATCTAAAATTTAATTAAATATACTAATGTCAATTTGAATAAATATACTAATGTCAAATCCTTTTTGAAACTTTTACATGTAAATAGGTCATGTTACTGGTACTTGGTATCAGTAATCAATTAGATACTTTTTTCAAACATACTGGTACAATTAATAAAATTACTTCAGTTTAGTGCTAATTTTTTTTTTTTTAGCAATATGCAAGTCGGATTCCTCCTTTTTTTTTTTTTGGTTTAAATAGGGTAGTATACTGTAAGTGGATATAAAAGTTGTTCACTCAGAAAAAAAAATTCATATAATTAGAAATATTGGCAATTTTGAAAAGGCACTAGATTTTTTGCTTCACATCAAAACTTTGTGAAACATTTCTATATTTCATTTCATAAATTTAAATTTTATAAAATGGCCAAAAGTAACCATTCCTCTGGAATACTTACAAGCATTGACCATGAAGAAATCTTCGTATTCAGCTGTAATTACTCGACCCTCGTCATCATGCTTGGCAACACCTGATTTCATTAAATGAAGCAGAAAAAAAAATATAAAGAGAAGAACACGGAATCATTGCACAAAAATTCAATCACACAAGTGCAACAAACAAACACTTTATTTTAAGCCTCATTTGGAAAAAAAAAAATTTTGTTGAAATTTTACAATATTAGAATTTTTTTAAACATCAAAGTGCATGAACGAAATAAGTCAACTTAATGTATTTTCTCAATAAATAAAAATGAATTTTAATTTTATATCTAGTATTTAATTTTTAAACATCAATGATCACTTAGTCTAACCTATCCCATATGTGACTTTAATCGGTTTCTTTTTGCTGTACAGTCCCGTCCCTGCGTACCCAGCTTTCTCCGCGGGGGACCAGTAAATGTGGTAATTCTTGTCAATGACCCCGGGAGGTAACTGATCCTCCTGACATTTGGTTTCCTGGACACACAGAATGTCGGGGGATTCAGTCTTAATGTACGACATCTTGTCTTTCTGAAAGATATGAAAGCATGCATAACTATAAATTTAAAAAACACCTGCAATCTGAAAAATTTAAATATATGGTATGCCTACGAATTTCCAAATGATTATATTATTAATGACACAATTTTATGTATGTTTATTGTATTTGTGGATTTAAATAAATTATTAGTATACAGTGAAAATTACATGTGAAAATTTATTTTATTAACCATCAGTAACTTATAGAATACTGGGGAATGTCTCAAATATTAAGGCATGCTCTTACAATTCAGAGAATCTACCTCAACAAAATAGCTTAATTACCATAAAAAAGATTTTCTGCTATCAATTAAGCATAAGTTAGTCATAAGTTTCCATAATAAATACATAGCAACAATCAGCAAAATTACTCACATCATACCAGGCCCTAATGCCATTAAGATTCCATGAGGCAATCTTCAGTGAAAATTTCCTCCCGTCCTTTGTCTTGGCATCGGGGTTGACCTCAGTGGGAAATGAGGTGTCAGTCCCCTCTGGTAAGGGTTCAATTGTATCCTCCTTACGGATGGGGGCTTTCTTTCCTTTTTTTGCTGGACCTTTCTAAAGGTTAAAGATAAATAAATCTTATGTCACATAAGATATACAAATATTCTGGAAGAAAATGCACTATGTGCTACATCTGCATGAACTTAAAAACTGAAATTTGAATTTTGTTTATCTTAATAATTAAAATCACATACAATTTGTTTCCCTGCATATATTTTTTTTATAAAATTTGACAAAATGTGTAAATACAAGCACAGAGCAAAAACACGTTCACTCTGCACTATCAGTTTGTATGTTGAGTTACCATATAAACTTCATAAGATATTTATATCCATCAAAGTATAAATTAAGAAGGATGGCAGCAAGACTCTCTCACTTCCCTCCATGATCTACTGTAGGTTCCTAAATACATGAGGAATTTACCACCTAATTTCTCAAGAGGCTTATTTATCAAAAAAAAAAAAAAAGAAGATACTACTAATAATGTTGCTGAAATACATCCAAAAACTCCTCATCAACAGTTGACTCCTAAATTCATTTCCTCACAATTTGATGTCTATGTGACATTTCACAATATTCACTTCTTAGGTAAAGTAGGGAATCTATAGTATATTTTACAGGATCTATTTTACAGGACCTAGTTTACAGGTTCCATTTTACCAGGTCCATTTTAAACAGGATCTTTTTTATAGACTATTTTACAGGATCTAATTTACAGGTTCCATTTTACAAGTACCTTTTTTACAAGACTTTTTTCAAAGGGTCTATTTACAGGATCTTATTTTACCTTTCCTGAATCTCCATCTGCCTCTATTTTCTGTTTCTTGCTTGGTGAAGGCTTTAAAAAAATATCGATAAAGTTTAGGCAAAATTTATAATTAATATCTCTTTTAATATTCATCATCTTTAAGCCACAGTCTGACTCAAATTAAGAACTTTCACCTTAATTTTTTTTTATTCTTTTGTGTTTTAATTTAAAAATATATATAATCTGTATATCATCAAATTTAGATAAGTTTCAATTCAATCTTGTTAAGTTATTATCTTTTAATATAATTTGAAAGTTTAAAAAACAACAACGAATAAACAAAATTAAATCAAACCTTTTCTTCAGTGGCTGTGTCTCCCGCTCCAGAATCTTCTGTGGCAGGCGTCTGTGAAGAAAGTATGAAAAGGTAACAAGACACATATTATGTAGTATTTAAATGTAAAAAGGTACATATTATGTAGTATTAAATGTAATAAGACACATATTATATGGTATTTAAATGTAACAATTGGAACCCACATTTCATAACCTTTGACAGGTACTCTATTGAATGATTAAATACATATAAATACACATGGCTATCTATGAAATGGTTAATTAACGGATACCATGTTAATTAAGGGGAATGCATTAAATACGAGAAATAATACCCGAAGTGAGCGGTGTAAATAGAATGTTTTTACAATGCTTGGATCTGTAGCTCTCTCGCTTATCTGTTTGAATTTTCTCAACCTGAGAGCTACAGTTCTGCAGCTACCCCTCCGACAGAGTTTGCTTGTAGATAGTAAACCTACATTTTGCTACCTTATATCCTCTAAATAATGTTTCAGCTGCAAAATTTGTCTTACCTTTTCACTGGCCTTCTTTGCCTAAAGAAGAGAAATTATATTCATTATTTGTTCATTCTAAGGCAAATATTTGATCTCTAACTTATAGTGCAGTTTACATTTACATTACATGTTTTACAAATAAATATCTATAGTTTACATTTGCAGTATATGTTCTGAAAAAAAAAATCACATTTATCAATTATATTACAATTTTACTACACTATTGAATACTAAAGACACTGCACTGCTAAAAATGTGTATATCAGGGACCTATGTTATCTACGCTAGTAAAATCAACTAGGCCTATTCAAGTAGATCTAGTAGCTGCAGATGTAGTGTTATGGTTTTTTATATACCAGTCTTTGACCATAACGCTACAGATCCCATAATAAGCTAGTAGTGCAAATATTGTGCAATATACAGCGCAAGATTTTCTGTGCATGGATGGGGAGAATTTCTCCACTTTCCAGCATTGGTCAATCAACTACCTTTCACTCCCTAATTCTAGACATATTTTTTAAACAACCTGAATATTTTATCCACCTCCTAACCCTCTATAGTTGTCTCTACAGACCAATTAACTCGCTTGTTTTGAATTTTTGTCGGATGGCAGAAAATTCAAAACAAGTAAGTCTTCTGGTCGGAAGAGATGATTGTAAAGGTTTAGGAGGTGGATAAAATATACAGTTTGGATTAAAAAATATGTCTAGAATTAGAGAGTGAAAGGTAGTTGATTGACCAATGCTAGAAAGTGGAGAAATTCTCCCCAACTGTGCGCAGAAAATCCTGCGCTGTAAATTGCATCATATTTGCATTACAGGTAGCGTTATGGCCAAAGACTAATATATAAAACCATAATGCTACAGTTCTACAGCTAGTAGATCTAGGTGCCTTTCAACACAAATAAACTAATGTAAACATCAAATCCATGGAAGGAGAAAGCGTAAAAAAAATCATTAATACAGGTTTTATTAAAACCAGGAAACTATATTCCATAGGTTCCTGAAAAAACATACACCATCAACTTGTATGCATTTTTAAAATTAATATTTTGCAGAGAGAAAGCACCTGTCCACCTAAAAAAATCTGAACACTAAAATAAACTGATGAACATGTCTCTACACCTTTCTTTTGGGTGGCATTTTATCAGAGAACCTTAAAACACACTGATCTGTTTCAAACAGAGCACAATCAACAATGCTAGATAACACAACACGGCTCCAAAGGATGGGATGAAACACAAACTTCTGAGCCAGTTTTTACATATGAGAAAATTCGAACGTTCTTTCTCTTTTCCCGCCAGATTTCAAAATTAAGATTTTCGTTTTGTAAATTTTATCTGTAAGCATTAGCAAGTATATTCTTTTATGAATGCACTAACTACAAAAATAAGGATCTAAATTAAACAATTTTGTATATATTGATTTTTACAATTGTTATTTATAAGTATTAATGTCAATTTTAAGTAGGTGTCAGGGATTCGTTTTGTGAGAGAGAATAAATTTACTGCGCTAATCTTAATCAATAAAACGTTTTTCGGTACGGGTTCGTACATCTTCGAATAGAACAGTTCGGACGGGCACCTGTTCCGTGGTTGACAATGACGCTTTCCGCGAAAGTCCTGGCCAACTTTGAGAACATCGCAAATATGAGCCGAATACAAGCATGAAAGTAAGTTTTCTGGTAAGTTTTGATTTGATTGATTATTTTGCAATGTTGTAATTTGCGTTCTTAAGTAAATTGAAAAAAAAAAATGCATGGCATGGTATTCATTTGCACCTATGTATAGGTAGATCTACATATACATGCTTTACACATCAAATATTGATCTGCAATTATATATCAGCTACATGTATTTACAAACAGCTGTCTTGTCATAATCCTATTTACAAATATCATTTTTTCGCATTTTTTAACTCACGCGGATGGTATTTGCATTGTATATGCACTACATTAATGGTGCGGTGGTGGGACACACTAAATAATTCCTCTATAATGGCAAATTACAGATGTGTCATAGGTCTTTAAAATATTTGGACAAAAATGTCGTTAAAAAGTTGACTTACCTAAAATGCTAAAAAATTCCGGCTTCTAAACCCCTCCCCCACTACCTCATTTGCAGAAACCCGGTGACAACCTTAGAAGCAAGCCTCTCATGATACATGATGCATACGGGAGGAACAATTTTCAGCTCCCAGTTGAACCAAGAATGGGTAGGCCTAATCTTCACAACATCCGCCGGATACTGAGTCCATGCACTTGTGACCGTTGGACCCCTGACAAATTTTATTTGATATTTTACGAACTTGCTTCTCTCATTGACAAGTATACTAATCAAATCAGGGCTTTCATAACTTGACATAAAACGTAAACAGAAAGTGAGCAGTTGACATCTCCATGCACGTTTTACAGGTTATGTGTCACCGATAGGTTTAATGTGATTGGTTGATAGACTGATAGATAAGAAAAACAACCAAAATTTGTAATTTTCAGGAAATACGTCGCTGCAGTCAGCCCATAAAATATCGAATGAAATTTGTCAGGGGTTTAACGACCAAGAGTGGACTCGCGATCCCTGACGTTGTGAGGAAAGGACGGGAGGGTAGGGGGAGGGGGCGATGTTCAGCACTCAAATCAAACAAATGGAAAAAAAATAGCCGATAATGAAAAAAAAATAAATGCAAGTCAATTTTATGTGAATTTTTCTTTTTCAATTTCTTTAACACTAAATGTAACTAATAATCATCTAAGGGAGCTCGAGAAATTATTTCAAACAGCAAATAGTCACATTGTCACATGCAGGAATTGCTTGCATGCTTCTCATCTAAGCCTCGGAAACAAAGGTACAATACATTTATGTAATATACATGATGCACACTTTCACCAATTGGCTGATTTATAATTCATAAGCCACAATGAATTAGATGCCTTTGCTTGAGGTCAGAGGTTCATTAAGTCAATATACAGTGTATTTGATGTCAGTCAGATTCTATGTTTATAAATGACAAAATAGACGGATAACAGTGATCTGATATCAGACAAAGAATTGATCAGATTTCAGTGATTCAGAAGAAGTGTTAGATATATATCATTGCAGATCAGTTAGTGTCAGACGAGTAAAACAAATGTTGTGATTAGTTGCCGACCTCAATACCGTGTCAAGCTACGGTTATGAATTATGAAAAGTCTGAAATTGGATAGCGTAGAGTACCTTGCATAGATTATATAGCGAAATACTTAACGAAAGAGTAGACTATTTCTCAGTTTTATTGTGTTAGAATTATACCACAAAATTACCATGAAGTGTTTTGAAGAAAAAGTTCATTGCAGAGAAAAGATAAATTATATGCGCTTCTTAGTGTTATGGACGGCAATGTACACAACAGTCTACATGTAATTCGTGCTCATTCCGTTTATGTTATTTTCTTTGCAGTCATGTTGACGAATATATGATACAGACGGATTGATCGATAAATATTACATCTAAGAGGATACTGTGTTGTAATGCTCTTTGATGCACCTGCATGTGCCACATACTTCAAGGAACCTGGATTATCATGATTTTCGAACACAAACTTGTTACATTGTACTCACTTCTGACGAATTGTATACGTACAATTCAAGGTAATTATTTTCATTTGTAATCATTATGTAACACGTGTAATGTTTGGTGGAAAAAAAAATCGCCACGTTTATTTATATGTATATGTATTTGGATTACATCATGTCTTCTTTCGAATATTTATAGACATGTAACCTACACTGATTTGGTTTGCTGATTTAAAAATACCAAAGGAAATGGGAAACTTGAAATTAATAATCTGAAATATCTATACATGTGTTTTTACTCAAGAATATGTCTACCGTTATTTTGTTTTTCACCAGTACGATGATTAACTTTATTTATTCATCTAGTTTGACGTCATGGATTACATGGAAGATGGTTTGTTCGATGTGATATCTCGTGGTGACACGACTGCCTTTAAGGACTACCTTGATCGAGGCTTAGATGTCAATCATGCATTCAGAAGTACCGACCGACAAGAGCGCCTCGGTAAAACCCTCCTAGAGGTCGCTTTAGAAAAGAGGCAACCGGATATTGCAGCACTGCTTGTCGAAAGCAAATGCAATGCAGATCTGAAATATATCGTTGATGTACGAAACTATGCGTATTTCCTCCGTGAGTATAAAAAGAAAGACAAATTGAAGCTTACACCAATGTTTCCGGCGATAGTTCATGGGCACTTGGCTACCATCAAAACTTTGGTGAAAGGTGGATATGACGTCAGTAACTATGATGACCGGGGTTGCACTGCCTTGTGGCACGCAACAGATTTAGACAGCTATGAAATGGTGAAAATATTGCTCAGTGGAACAAATTCAAAAACATCAGTAAATAAGCCAGACAATGCTAAACTGCGACCTCTCCATATTGCGGCGATGCATGGAAACAACCGAATAGCATCTTTGCTAACCAGGAGTGGCGCGGACATAGATGCTGTACAAATTCGAGGTTGGACCTCCCTTCTTTTGGCGTGTCGCGCAGGCTCAGAAGCGACAGCAAAACTACTGCTTTTGAACGGCGCTGATCCAAATCACGTGGGTAAAAATGGCCACACCCCTTTGTCGACGTCACTGCAGTATACGGAAAGCTACACTATTGCGTACATGCTTCTAGAGTCCGGCGCAGAAGTGAACTTGGAACTGTTACGGAGATGCAGAGAAGAGAAATTCATGAACTTGCTGGCTAACCCCGGATTGTACCAGCTCTTGAAATTCTGTTCTGAATCTCCCCATACATTACGGACTTTGTGTTGCATAACGATCAGAAAATTCTTGGCGAATTCTCCAAGTACTGTTCACTTGGTTGAAAAAGTTGAACAATTGCCAATACCGAAACTTATCAAGGAATATATTCTTCTAGGTCATTTGATATAACATGACTGAGAGATTCCTTAAAGAAATCAGCAGTATTTTTTTTTTTTGTCTTTCATTTTCATTAATTTTGAATCCGTTGTATACATTTTGTTTTTTTTTTTTTAAATAATTCTAAATTGATGAAAAAATATAATAAAATGTCCCTTTTCTGAAACAAAAACATGAACTACATGTATAGCAATTTAACGGAAGATAAAGACTGAATTGTACGACGTTAATTTACGGGTGACAAGCCGAAAACTCGAGTAATCGAATATATTTTTCCTTTCTCAGTTGAAGAAGATAAACGTAGCTATTTCTTCCGGTGTGAACTTCTTCATCTTTATGCATGTTTCATTTGCTTCAAAGTCGATGTTTTTTTTTCTTTTCGATAAGATGCTGAAATGGATTTTTCCCTCAATTTTTCAAGTAGGCATCATACACCCCCCCCCCCCGGTAATAAATTCAAGGATTCGCTCATCAACAATGGATGTTTAAATATTTCACATTATTATGAGAAAAAAATCTTACTCTTGCGTAGTTATAATAACGCATGTGTAAAATTGAGTAAAAAATATAATATGTTTTTCATTTATCTTGAAACAATACTTTTTACACATTTCTAAGAGAAGTTTAAAGCCATTTTCCTGATTTCTAAATCATATCAAACATCCAAATGGGGCACACGTATAATAATATGTTGTGTTCACTCATTTTTTTTCATTTGAAAAGCTGTATGTCTTTCAACTCATTAAAAGTTTTATCTCTGTCATATACGCGGTCAAGTAATTATTTTCATTATATTGAACTTAAGTTTGAACATGTATATTTTGAATTTGTGAATAGTTTCGACGCTATTATATATATCTATTACTATGTATTAAAATTACAGGTATTAATTTATTGTTTCATTTTAATCAGTATTGTTTGTGTTCTGTATATTTTACTGGTTGTTGCTTGTTTGAATATTTAATTATTGTTATCAGCATCAAACATTTCAAAAGTAAAGAAAATCATTTTCCTTGACATAAGCCTTTGTTTTGAAAAAAAAAAAATCAAGATATCCGTCAACTGGACAATGTATTATAACAGATTATCTCTTTCAACTAAATACAACGCGTGAGATATGTTTATATATTTACATTTGCTGTGTTTTTCTACTATAATCAACTGTTACTGTGAAATTGATTTGAATGCCATTTTCGTGTATACTCACGCGTAGAAATATGCACGGAGAAACTCGCGCTAATTAAAGTGACGACACAAAGAGCTACAGAGACGTTAATAAAAATGTAACGATATAGGGCAGTGAATAATTCAAACATTGAATATATTTTTGGTCCTTCTGAACATGTAAAATGTAAATATAAGGAATGTTTTTAAGTTTAGTATGAATTATTGGTGTGTAAATCACACAGACTTGCACGTAGGCATATTTTTCATGAACCGCTAGCGCGCTTCATGAAATATGCGTACGTGACAAGTCTGTGTGATTTACATATCAATAACTCACACAAAACTTAAGGGAGCCGACTGGGGTTTTATTGTGTGAAAACTACTATAGAGAAACTCTTTAATTTTATACCCTATATACCTTACAATTACTTCAGTATACATGCCAAGTTTAGTGAAAATCTACCGTCTGGTTATTTTTCAGGGACCGTCTCAAAATACGGGTACATTTACTATAGGGTTATATAGGAAAATACCATTTTTTCGCACTTCGGAGCAAATTATACAAATACTACTATAGACTTTTTGCTCAAATTTTATTATTTCATGGGTAATACTATATTGTACATTTTGTGCAAGAAACACAAAATTCTACCGTCTCGTTTCCAGAGGGGGCATCTCAAAATGTCAAAATTCATGATATTTTCCTGTTTTTATGGAGTAAAACAAAACATGACAGATACCACAGATTTACATAAAAAATAGTAACAATGATTGCTATATTCTCAATTTCCTATGTTTAAAATTCCAAGAACATACATTTTATACTTTTTATTTTATGGCATAATTAATGACCCCGCTTAAAGAATTTCGGTTATTCATAACGTCAAAAACACCTTATTACGACGTCTTTCTACCCATCATTTGAAAAATCGTTAAAAAAATCAGTTAATTAAAAACGTAATTAGATTTTTTGACCTCATATTTCCTAAATTTGTTATTTTTTATAAATTATGTAAAACTAGTTGCTTTAAAAGAGTTAATACGCTTTATTTTACTATGCTGCGCGAAGTATTGCGCAATGAAAACCCCAGTCGGCCCCCTTAAAAACATTCCTTAATTGAAATTTCCTGACCCATTATTGGTGATCTCTTAATTGGTCTCACCCACACTCTAGGGTGACTAATCGTGGCTCTGTTTTCTTAGGAAGATATCTAAAGATATTTCCTACATCTTCCTATATGTATATAAAATTATAAATATAACTTTGATACCTATTGAGGCCCACCCTACCTCCGGGGGACATGATTTTAATAAGTTTGAATCTACACTCCCTTAATATGCTTACGATGCTTCTATATCAATACAGGCATAACTGCTGTCCTCGAGAAGATATTTTAAAATTAAGATATCTCCTACATTTTCCTAGGTATAACTCTGATCCCCTATTGTGGTCCAACCCTACCTCAGGGCTCATGTTTTAAACAAACCTGAATCTACACTACCTGAGGATTCTTCTGTATTCTAAATACTGACTAGCTATGGGTTTAAATTCGCTGGTCAAGAGAAAAGTTTCTTAACGATATTTCAGGTGTCTATTTCATATGTATAACTTCGATTCCCTGTTGTTGCCCCAACATATCTCCAGGGGTCAAGATTTAAAAAAAAAATACTTGAATATACACTTCCTTAGGATGCTTTTATATAAAATATGACTAATCATGACTGCTGGTCATATAAGAACTTGTATGTTAAATATTGTTTCTAAATATTCCAATGTATATGTATAACTTTTGGGCTCTGTTTTGCCTTACTCTAACCCAGGGAGTCATGATTTGAATAAACTTGAATTTATACTACCTGAGGATGCTTCTTTATCTATATTAATATGACTTAGCTATGACAAATTATGAACTTTACACTAATTTTTAATTATATTCCCTTGAAAAAGTGTACGGCCCTTCATGTGAAGAAGCAAGAAATTTAACTTGAATTCCCTTAAACTAGTGATTGTGGACAAGAATACTACAACGACAGCAACGGACAAATTTTGATCAGAAAAGCTCACGAGTCATTGGCTCAGGTGAGCTAAAATTACTTTGTAAAGAGAAACAATGCATTTAATTTATTTGCATCAGAGCGTCATTTTTGCCAGACAGCATCTATATATATATATATATATATATATATATATATATATATATATATATATATATATATATATATATATATATATATATATATATATATATATATATATATATATATATTACAATATTATATTATGATAATTAACAGTATATATTAGAACGATAGAATATTCAATTCCATTTGGTAAAGTAAACGTCCATGCAAAATTATGACCTTTTCTTTGACCCGGGTCTAAACAGGAAGAAATGGTCTAAAGTTCCACTATGTACTGAAGGCATCGTCCTTACAATTCACACGTCTGAAAAATTGACTATATACATATGTCAATGAATTACGCGCATTTATTCATCTTCCTTACTAAATGTACTTGATAAGAATGTTTTCCCTATATAAACTACACATTCTTACGTCAAATGTGACTAATGACCTCGTGGTAGGTCAAAGATAAGTCAGCAAAGGTCACATAAGGTCATTTGTTTACAAGTTTCAGATAGCTAAGGTCAAAGTTCGAATCGGAGAACCACATTTTCTCTGACGTCACTCCGAGCGGTGCTGGAAGAATTACCTGCTGTCAATATTATAAAAGTTCTACGTGCCAAAGTTTTCGTGAATTAAAATAATGGAAAAACTTTTCATTGGAATCCTGGGGGTATTATGTTGCCTCCGATTTGGTTCCACAGATTTTACAGGTAACAAGAGTATATTTAACTAGAAATGTTGTCTCCGAAGAACAAATAGATAAATACCAACAATTATGATAAATACTTTTTTTTTATCATATATTTTCAGAAAAAAGTTAAAGCCACGAAGTCTGAAGATTTGGTACTAGGTTCAGCTGTATCTTTGTACATTGCGCTGAATTGGCTTTATTCAACTGTTAATTATTGAATATTTTGAAAAAATAGAATCTTGTAGAAATAGAAGGGATTTTTAGAAAAGTTCGATCTTTTTCCGGTATGGAGGAGAGGGCAATATTAATCTGTATAGTTTCAAGACGTAATTTGTAGCTACTACCGGTTATTTTACCAAAGATTGATTGAATTTCAGATGTGGACTGGTGTAAGGATAATCCAGATTTAAACTGCTGGCGATACGTAGATAAAAAATGTGTAGGATATTATGAAGACTGGGCGAGACAAAACTGCCCCTTCCGCTGCGGGTACTGTCCAAGTAAGTAGGCCAAGGACATTCTCCCAAAATTCAGTCTGCATTCATGCAGTCAAATGATCTGGCCAGTGATGTCTGATTTCAAAATGAAAACAGCAATCTGAATTTCTAGTATATACATAATGTAAATGTAGCGTATAAATAATGCGCAAAAGTAGGTCAAGGTTTGAAAAAAATGTTATTATATTCTGCTTGAACGAGCACACATGTAGGTCAAAAAAAAAAAGAAAAGAAAAGAAAAGAAAAGAAAAGCTGTCACCTAGGTGAGTTTATCAAAGTGGACCTCTTTTTTATATTAAATTATTTCACGAAATGCAAGAAATATTAGCGAAATTATAGATTGACTCGTATCCTTGCAAATATTAAAATTTTTTGTCCTATGATCTTTCACGCTATGTAACTTTTCAAGAAGTAGCTAAAAATAGTCATTTATAACGTTTATCTTAAGATAATTACGAACAAAAGTACAATAAGTTATTATAGTCTTTTCGATGGTATTCCTGTTAAGGATAAAACGCATGGCACCTGGATATTGAACGAACTTGGAGGGGAAAGCGAAACGGAAAGCGTGAAAGAAAAGAAAATCTTATGATATAACATAAAATATGAAAGGGGGGATCGCGGATTCTCCAAAAGTTAAACTCAAAATTCATACACGATATTCAATTTTTTGTAGTTGGATATGGAATAATATTTCACAAGTGGGACAGGATTTTTTGATATTTTCACGGGTGCGAAGCACGAGTGAAAATATGAAAAAAAAATCCTGTCTCACGAGTGAAATAAATTCCATATCCAACTACAAAACATTGAATTTTCTGTTTATTACATTTTCTCTGATTTTCCCTTTGCCTCTGTCTTTTCTTAACACAGTGTCATAGGCTGTGACGTCATATATAGTTGAGTGATTGAAACGTCATAGCTTAGCAATATTGTGAGATTTAAAACATTGTAACATGGATTTTAGCAACATCTTTGGGAAGAAATTGGCAGTTTCAATTTCTATCAAGATAGTTTAGTTACTAACAGGCCAGGAATTATTTTTTACTTACTTTGATATCCTTTCACACTGTGAGAGAATATCACTTTGGTATCCTTTCACAATGTGATATCACTTTTATTCAAAAAATAAATCTCTGTATTTCACTGTTGAAAATGTAATAATTTAATTCTAGTTATAACGCGGTATTTGATTGGATAAGAAAAAAAAATTATATATCATATAAATTGGGTTGCCTACATCACATCCTGTTTATAAAGCGTAACTGCCCCAACCAACTAAATACACCGTATAAATCTGCATGGGTAGCTATATTTTAAAATATCATTCCTTAAATAAAATCTGATCTTTGTCTCAATCATACTGCTATTCAGTAAAATTTTTAACCTTTACTCTGTCAATAAATCATTCAGAAAAATTTCAGAAAATCTCGTCTTGAAATACCTCTAAGGAAAAAGAAAAAGATTTGTATTTTTAAATTACCCAAAATATACGTAATGAGCCTAGTAGTGTGCATTTTACCATTTTAATCTACAGCTAACCCCCCATGTGAGGACACCGACACTTCTTGTCATGCATACCACGCTGAAGCTTGTTCAGATGAAAACACCCGGGCTTACATGAGGGAACATTGCAGGAAGAGGTGCCATTTATGTCATTGTAAGTAAAAACAAAATTAAAGTCTTTATTTCTTTGATTGTTTAATGTCCCTTTCCAGGATTTTTCACTCGTATGTTGAGACGATACCACTGCATATTTTAGACCTATACTTTGCACTCAAAAGGTCATTGAGTAGTGATGGTTCTTTAACGTGCCAATATCTACTGTGATATGGGGCCTCAGCTTATACGCGGAACGGTCCCATTCGAAGGACCAGTCTCCAATTCTCGCAGTGGGATTCGAATCTGTGACGTAAGATCAACTCCTCGATCCGCAGGCGAGGTGTGTTACAACGCGAAATGTAATAACAACGCAAAATGTAATAAACCCGGATTATTACATTTTGCGTTATTATATTTTGCGTCAATATCTACGCAGAATGTAATAACACAAAATGTAAAAACACTTTTTTAGGGTTATTACATTTTGCGTTATTACATTTTTCGTCGAGATCAACGCAAAATAGAATAACGCAAAATGCAATAATACGATTTTTGTGTATGTGGGGGTGGGGGTTATTTCGTTGATCAAGTGTATCTTTGCTTTATTTTTGATAGGCAGGTGCATGATATTTAGAAAAGAAATCTTTTTTTACTGGGAGGTGTAAATATATAGCGGGAAGGCGGTTTCTTGACTATTAAGATTTCATACTGTTTTACAAACCATGTGCATTGCAGACCAGCAAAAATAAAATTCTCTCTCTCTCTCTCTCTCTCTCTCTCTCTCTCTCTCTCTTCAGTAATAAAATGGACAGTTTCTAGATTTCTGCATGCGCATAAAAATACAATGATCAACATACGAAGTAACCCCTACCCCCCGCTTCTCCTCGCGAGACACACATGCACTTCTAATTGCTAACCAATGTACACATGCACGTCGTACATGCATATCAAGAGCTTTTCATATACTCATGGTCAATCTCTGGTAATAAAGAATGTCAGTAATGGATATATAATACAAAATGATTTATAAATAGACATGTCATTCAAAGTTAAGTTAATGTTTTATAAGTATTCAATAAATATGTTAGAAACAGAGTAAAAAAAAAATATATATATACATTTAGATTTAGTTTTGTTCGTAAAAACCGTAACGTTTGTCTCATAGTCATAGGTTTGTCTGTTTATTGAGTAAAGTGACTTTCCCCATTGTTATACGTTTAAATCAATTTTGTGATGTTTCGCGTTGAACACAATACAAAAAATAGTTATATTTTATTTCATTACATTTTGTTTTATTACATTTTGCGTTCTCCCCAAAGAAAAAATTAAGTAACGCAAAATGTAACAACCAAAAAGTGCATTATTACATTTTGCGTTAATCCCAACGCAAAATGTAATAACGCAAAATGTAATAATCCAAAACTCGTGCTATTACATTTTGCGTTATTACATTTTGCGTTGATCTCGACGCAAAATGTAATAACGCAAAATGTAATAATCCCAGTTTATTACATTTTGCGTTGTTATTACATTTCGCGTTGTAACAGAGGTGTTTGTAATACATGTCATAGGATGCCGATGTCATATGTTGCACGCGGTGTTTTGAAGCAATGACTCAAATATGCCACAGTGTGTGAAAGCTGACACAATTTTTTTTTAATATCATGCTTTAACTTTATGCTTATTTCAGACCCCGGGGACAATAGCACGCAAAACACACCCCCTCCTGGAACCCCTGTCCCAACAGACACCATGGTGAAACCAGCTGTTGGAAAATGATGTTATTTCAGTTTGACAAGCTATTAAATTAATATAGAAATGCTTTGAATCTGGTAATCTTTTTTAAATTAGATGAGCAATATGTTATATTAAAAAAAAATTCGAGAGAGAGAGAGGATTCACTTTTGAAGATTGTGATCCATAGTGCACTCTTTGCATTTATTAGTGCACTGAAATATTAACAATATATATATATATGTTGGGAATGCGAGAGAGAGAAAGAGAGAGAGAGATTCTATGTCGATAAAATTTTTGCTTCACTTAAAAGTTTTTAGTTAAATTTTACAAGCTCATCATCATTTGTAGGATATAGAATCTTTTGCTAAAAATTCTTCAATTTTTTTTTTTTCGTGATTAAGCTTGTTTTCTTCAGATTTTTAGGCAAAACACACTTTAAAGCGAACTATGGATTTTTTTTTCTCCTGTCTACATTTACATACTATTACATATATGTATAATCCAGGTGTTACATTAAGAGTTTAAGTTACAGATAAGTTTTAACTTTAGATTGAAACTTTTAATGTAACACAGGCCGACTTTGTGTTTCAAGAGAATATGAAAAGAAATACAGTGACCATATACTACAAAGTATCCATAAAGGAAGTCTTGTATATACTAAGACAGGGGCGGATTTTGAAAGGAAGGTGGGAAGGGGAGGGGGGGTCCACATCAATCAAATATATGGAGATAACGAACAATATTCATGCTCAAAGGTCCATTAAACAGTGCAAATTTGGAGCAGAGCAAACACGGACCTCTAAAACAACAGAGGTGGTATCAGGTGCCATGGAGGAGTGAGCATCCCCTGCCGACCAGTCACACCCGCCAAATACACTAAAACTTGCCAAAACCTGAATATTTTTTTCGTGGGAGGTGGGGGTAGGGCACTTTCTTAGTCCATTTTCTTCAGATAGATGACTCTCCTTACCGTTTTTAAAGAGATTCCTCGAGGGGGTTGAGGTGTCCAAAGTATCTTTCACTACTTTTACATAGAAAGTTAATAACTTCATAAATTCATGGGGGTCCAGACCTCCCCTCCCCCACCAGATCTGTCCATGTGATCAATAGGGAAAAAAACAACTTTAAGACAACCTATTAGAATATGTTGGCATACCACTCAGGAAAATATCCATGCAACACACATCTGTTTTGGATGGACACTTATAAAGAAAGTCAAATAAAAATCTGTTAGGCTGTTTTTCTCATTCAAAACTTTTGTGATATACTAGTATACTTGAACGCTGTTGATTAAAAATTCTGAAAAGAGAGAGCTAGGATAGGAAGGATCGAGTAGGATTCACTCTCGCTAATCTTAATCCGCTCTTGTTACATTCCCCTAATACTTGTAAAAACTTACCCGTATTCCTTCCCACGCCGGTAATTAAGAATATGTAGATACTGTGTGTACCAGAAATACCTTAATGCATGCCATTTAATTAATTAACCGGCAAGCAATCACAGCATTACTGGTCTCAGGAAAAAAATCGCAACATCTGTAGCATTTTTTTTAAATTTACATATAAAACTTACCTGTTTTTCCATCAATAACTGTGTCAGAACTTTTTCTTTGGATTTTTTAAAACAAGCGGAGTCTTTATTATGTTCATATTTTCAAAATAACCTCCCTCCATAAATAATCATGTTAACATTAGCAAATTGCGCTATACAAGTGTATGCACTCTAGTTGACCCACCTCTCATTCACTCTTGGATCCACCCCTGATTGAGTATGCAGGATAAAATTCCACTGAATCAACTTAATACCTTTTTCACAACATCATATAAAATAGGCGTTTTAAAATTCTATTTTTTAATCATTAACCCCAAATTTCGGAATTTTTCTGTGATTCAAAGACATTTTAGTGCAACATTTACACACGTCACTTCATTGTACATGTAGTATCGCAATCTCCATTGGGATATCCCTATTTGGTAATGTTCCTGTATTATTTCCAAATACCATCAAGGTGTTTTCTTAGGTTACCCTATTGTGAAATGTACGTCATTGGGTAACCATTTTGACCAATTATAGCATTTGCGTCAGCGATATGTAAATATTTGGGAATTAAATGTCAGTACATGTATGTAGGTCGCTAAGCGAGACACATGAGTTTGTTGACAGTTGAAAACCTGACAGCTCAGCAATTTGATCCCTTGACATATATCCAATATACATAGGAATTAATTAAACAGACAACAAAACAAAAACAAATAAAAATACCACAACAAATTTATTAAACTCTGTAGTATAATAAAACAATTCAACAAATTTGTCAAAAATTGATCAACAGTGTAACCATATAATATGGCATAAATATGGCATACGATTGTAATAAGTCGTGATAAATATCTTTAAAAATGTAATATGTAGACAATTTTAGCATCAGACATAGCCATATAACACTTCAGTAAAAATTCTAAACAAAATATTCCATCCATTATCTGTATGAACCAACAATAGAAATTTATTCCTATATAATTATATATGTTTGCCCTTAGTTTTATGTTCAGCACCAGTGCCTAAGTGTATAAATACATGTAACGATATAAAATAATAATTATATAAATAAAATTTATAATATGAAGATTTTAAGTAAAAGGGAACAATGTGCATAAACATTAACAAATAATAACAAAGTGAAGGTGAAACTTCTTTACAGATCAACAAAACTAGCAATAACAAGGAATATAAAAACTAGAATAAAAACAAGCATATAAAGAGCGAATATATCATTTGAAAAAAAAAAAAGAAAAATCTCAACAAGAATAGCCAAAATAAAGAATTATAAAACTAAAATGAACAAAAAGAATATTCTATTGATAGCGAATGGATAATTCTGTAAAAAGTCTTTCTATCCGATAGTATTAAGGTACTAAACTATCGACATATATTTGTCCTCTGGAACAATATATAAGAAATTTGCGATAAATATATCGATTCATAGATATAGAAAAGACATGCCCTATATAACTTACTTACATGTAACATAATTAATAGATATCGGCTGATACAGTAATTTATTATTTGAATATCATATTGACTAGAAGATTTTTTTGTCAAGTACAAACTCTATATAAATAACTAGGAAAATATAATAGGATAAAAAATAACACGGTTAACATTAGATATTAAACTCATATAATAAAAAACCATTTCATTAAAAAACCATCGTGCCTGCAATGTTATATATATATATATATATAAACAAACACAAATAAATTAAAATTTCGTCATGTTATTGTGAAAAAAAGAATTAAGTACATGGTACTTACACAAAGTCTTACAGACGATTCAATGTATACGTGTCGAATCCCATTCTTACATGAGGTAATACATGACCATTCTTACATGAGGTAATACATGAATAACAATAATGTTGATTAATTCATGAACACATTCACTGTATATTTATTGATATTTTTTTCAGATTATAGCTGATAAACATATTCACCTTACGTCCGTTCATGTCCAAATGCATTTTTGAAATATTTTTAACAGTTCATAGATTTATCAAAGTAAGTATATTTCACATGGCTTTAAATGTCATCTTCAAACTTCCTCTTTTTGTTGAACTGCCAAGGATTCCTGCCTCATCCTGACACTAAAACGAATATTCCATTATAAAACGTCCCAAAAGTTCAGTTTAGGGATGGTATAGTCCAATTGTGACAAAATCTTGGTGAAATGTCAGAAATCAAAGTTCTCCTTCTTCATATTGTTATAAACATTACACTCCCTGGATTTTTGCCGATATACCTAACTCGAAGTCACAAGGAAGACTTATTTGGTCACAAGCAATTTTATGCAAGCGTTCACTTTCACTTTAAGAGAGAAAATTATTCGAACACTCTGACATTCGCGTTTTTTAATGCAGCAAAGAAGAGCAGAAAGATTGATCACCTCTGAATAACTGAAAAGGGCGCGTTCATTTAATTTACTTACTGTAGGCTTTGGGGGGGGGGGGTTGTGTCGATTTTGTAATATTCGATACGGGGGGCACGGTTGCAGAGAAAGGACAAACATGATTCTCAAATTTGATACTAATATTTACACATATTTATATTTACACCACAACAGTACTGAAGTTGGAAATCATATGGATATCAAATGCAGATATTTGGTGGGTTACCTTGATTTTCGGGTCATCTAATGCCAACTATGCCAGCCATGTTCTCACCGTCCCTTTTACAAACTGTCGACATATCGGACACTTCCGCATGGCCGGAGCACAGTCTGGACAACAACAGAGATGACCACAAGGTAACATGGCGATAGAAGCCTCATTTTCAAGACAGATTTTACAGATCCTTAGGTCTCTGAGTCTCCTGTTTTCTTCAATCAATGATTTGGTGTCTGAAAAATAGTTACTATGTTGAGAATTTCATTTAACAGAAATAAAAATAAATTAATAAATTATGCAAAAAGACCATATTAACCAATTGCAAAGAAATTCAATAAGTATAGAAAAGAGAGTTAAGTAAAGAGGAAGCAAATGTACATACCCTCTAGGGACATTGATGGTAAAATGTCATTTAAAGAATCTAAATTCTCCTGATTTCTAGGCCTTGGAACATCTAAAAAGAAATACATATTTAAACAAAAATCTTGAAAAACTTAAACTTAAACATGTGTAACATTGACTTTTAAATGTTTCAAACAAATCTATAACAGTACATCAATTAAAGAGATAATTACCTTCATTCTTTGATTCCACTGAATGTCCATTTGCTGCCGCTAAGGGCACCTGTTGATCAGAGGAGGGCATTGTATGATCTGCCTGGGAGGTTACATTCACATTTTGTTGACCATTGGTGTTTCTCTCGATGTTTCCCCCCCTAGCCTGGGGCCTGGAGCTAAATATCTGGGGAGGGATATCCAAACCATTGTTTCTTTCTTCTTTACTCAAAATAAAGTCCATCAAATCTTCTCCAGAGATGTCTTGAGGGTCTAAAATCATTTTGATATTATTAACTACACATGTTTGATCTAATCCGTTGTATTTAAAAGAAGAATACGTTATTTCCCCCTTTAAATTATAGAATGAAAATGGCAATTCTAATATTTTTACTTCACGGATTTTTAGCAAATCATTTACTTTCTTTTACTTTTTTTATATCATGTTTCTTTTTTTTCCCCTAATATTTTTAAATATCATACCCTTAGTGGCCTTCAGTTGATTGAAAGCTTCTTTGATAACTGCTAAGGAGTAACCCATTTCTAGGACGCTTTGAACGGAAGAGAATGAAGAGACATCTGGATGACTTGTCCCATTGGGTACACTTTCTTGATGCAAGGAACTAGGTGTAATATTTCCTGCACCCTGTGCTTCAAGTTCTTCCTGTAAAATCAATTAAAAAAAGTTTTCAATCAAAATAAGTATTTTCTTCCATTTTCATGATAAATAAAGTTTTGCAAGTAATGTTAAGTGCTGAATGATTGAAAATAATGAAATATTAGGCTTCTAAATTAATTAAAAAAATATTATAAGTCCAATAACATTACCTGTTCCTGATGCTCTATTTGCACGAGAGCAACAAACTCGTCCCCTTTGTTCTGTCTCAGGAAAGCACACTTCGGAAACCATCTGGCGTGTTCTGTCCAAGGATCATCACCTGGTTCCCAATTACGTAATCCCCCTCCACAGAAGAAACATCGGGTGTAATCCCCGTATCCAGCATACAGAAACCCTGCTGTAGCGAGGTCACGTGGTGTTTGAGTCAAACTAGTGGGCCAGTCTTTATAAGAGCTCACTCTTGTTGCCAGCACTGCGTACGCAGGATATTTTGGTCGGTCAAAGTTAATTCCGAGTGGGTCTAAATCTCTTAAAAAAGCATTAATTTTTTCTTGTATGTTTCTCGATCTTGAGAGGACGGTGTTTATTTCAGTTTTTGTTGAGTTCTTGTATTCGTCTGTTTTCTTCGGTGCACTAGCTACATTTTCTGATGAAAATGATGATGATGATGAGGCTTGGGAGTTACCATTCGACAATGCTGAGCTGTTTGTTGTGTTGAACGCACCATTGGAAATGGCAGCTGTATTGTCTCTGTTTAATGTAGACGATTCTTGTAAAGTTTCCGATGCATTGTTATTTACATTTTCTAAATATCTGTCCCTTTGAGCACCTTCATCTTGGATATTAGATTGGTTTGAGTTTTGGTTATCTCCAGTATTCAAAGAAATTCTATTTGGAACACTTCTAGGCTGAGTAGTGTCTTCCGTATGTTGAGCAGTATTGGCACCATTCGGAACATCTCCTATTGGAACATTATTGGAAGGACCTGTCTGCAACAGTGGACAATTTGGGGAAATTTGGCGGTGAATTTCTCGTGGAATATCGCCTGCTTTCCATCTGCTCCTCTCAGATCCACACGCAAAGCAGACAACACGGTCACCATTACCAGTAAAGTAAAACCCTTCTTTCGCGAGTTTAATTGTCGAAATATAACCGGATGCAGGAAAGTTTTTAAAAGTCCCCAAGCGCACAAGCTCTAAATTCATAGAATGAGGAGATTCTTCAGATGATATTGATCTCGCGTCTTCTTGTCTTCTCGAGGATTGAATGGAGCATAACTCTTTCTCGACAAATTCTTCAAAATTCCTCGAACTCTCTATCAAGGGACGAAATTGCATATCTCTCTGTACTTTTGACAAACCATCATGGAAGTTCTTGAATAGGAGGCTGAAGAGTAACGTATCGAAGTCCTTGCCATTTTTGGGTGATTTTACATTCGTATCCTCTGAAAAATATCCCAAACATGGATCTTTGACCACTGCTTTTAAACCCTTGATATTTTCTATACCTCCCCAACCTCTGCAAAATGCCTTTATTTCATCTCCAGGCACCTTATTCATTGTGTCGAAAGAGATTCTTTTCACCAAGTTTTCCCAAGAAACTTTGTTGTATTTTTCCTGTTCTATTTCTGTTTGTGTTTCACGTGACGTTAATTTCCTAGATCTCATTCCATTTTCTCTGTTTAAATTCCATGCCTTGTATGGTCTCCTTCCTCTTATTCTGTTTGCACTTCTTTTTGATGCTTTGCCCTTCGCTTGTTCCAAAGACCCTCTTATTTTTATTATTTCATTTGACATTTCGTCTAACTTCTCATCCATTTTTTGTAGCAATCTAATAACTGCATATGAGTTAACATTTCCTGGATTTTCGGATCTAGAAACATATACGTGCGATCCGGATTTTGACATCTGTGCAACGAATTCTTTCCAATCAACAGCCGTGTGATTTCCCCAGTCTGTTTGCAGAGCATCATTCTCTGATTTGCTTCTTTTAACTTTCGTTTTTATAAAAGGTTCTATATTATTATCCATCGCAAGGAAATCTGTAATATAAAACCAAAGGAAGATTTGTTAGTTTTTACTAAAATACCCGACAGTTTTATTATAAATGCAACAGCTTAGTATTTTATTCCTCAGATTTTTTTTCTTTGCAAAACTAATTATTTTATTATGAGTAATTAATGCATTATTCAGTTCAGCTTAAACCATTATTATCGGCCGCTGTGTACCATATCTGCAAGTGAAGAGTTTACAAATATTCTGTCACAAGTTATTGAAACATTCATAAATATAAACTTTGTGGGTTTTTTTAATATCCGTATTTTTTTTTTTTTCATTTATACATGTAGGTGCCATGATTGCTTTTTATTTTGCAATTTGTACACGCTTATTTATACATTTTCTACAGTTCATGTCTACAGATTCTCGTGTTTTCCTCGAAATCTTCCTTATGATTATACTTTGGTAAGATTCAATTATTTGCAACCGATTTCAGTGATGTTTTGCATCAATCCATAAGTTGTTCAAATATTTTCTAATCATAATCTCTACCATGACAAGTCCTTTCAACAAAGGTAATCGTAGCGTAGAGGCTCACCTCGAAGTATGCTATCTATAAGAAAGGCAAAGCCTCAAGTCAAATGTTTCAGTAATAGAAAAACATAGTTTGGTCTGAAAAAACCTACTGTAACTTGGGCATGGGTCTATATTATGAAAACTTTTCAATCATTCAAAAAATCAGCGACAAATCCAGCATCTGTAGCAGGTCCGGTAGAATGAATCCCTCTATGCAAGTTTGTTTCATTACTTTGAAATAGAAATGTTTAAAAAAAATTAACCTGTTTAATCAACTGGAAAATGTAGGGTAGATCCAGCATCCGAAGCATGTCTGGTATAATGAAGATCCTTAATTAAGATGCATCATCCATGCAAATTTAGTCACTATGGCTTGAATTTATGGTACTTGGAAAAAATCTCAACCGAGATTAACTTGTGAATAGATCTGCTCTGAAAGCTTTAACCTGTTTAATCAACTAGAAAATGTAGATCATATCTAGCATTTGAAGTAATAGCATCTGCTATGTGCAATTCGTGATGCATCACCCATGCAAGATGGGTACAGGTATGGCATATAATTACTTGGGAATGAAATTTGCTCCAAAAATCTAAGTTGTTCATCATACATAAAATGTAGGTCAGATCCAGCATCTGGAGCTAGTCTGGTAGTGTTCGTCTCTAGACAAGTTTGGTCCATGTAACAGGTAGGGTATATTGTTACTTGAGAATTGAGACCAGAATTGTTCTCCAAAAACTTTAACCTGATCCAAAAACTTTAATCATCCCTACCCCCCCCCCCCCCCTTGAACGACTTCGTCGAGGTGAACAAAAAAGTATTGTTCAAAGAAAATCAATTCATATTCTCAAAATCATTATAAATATAGCGTTGTACATTTTTTATTATTAATTATACAAGACAAGAACAGCAAGTTTTAACAACGACAAACACTCGCAACTTTTCGGCCGTTTTCCGAGCTGACAAAACGGGTCGAACTCTAAATAGGTTATAAATACCTTACCGTCTATCCTCGATCTGATTTCTGTCGTAAGATTTTCTCTGCAGTTGATATATATACATGTACCTTGTAGACTATTTTTAGAAAAATGACTCATGGATCACGGGGTTAGACTTTTAGATTACACTCAAAAGAGGCATGCTTTGAAATAAATTGGCAGGTACGATATTATTTTCAAAATAATTTTATCTTTACATTTTAAATTATTTCATTGATTTTAAGAAATTGTAAGTATATTTCATGATTTTATAAAGTTTAGCATCGATAATACATATAGACATCGATAAGTGTCGACGGATTTTTTTTTTTTTTAGAGAAGCCCTTTGCTGTTACTTAAGTATGAATATTTTTTAATAAAAATGTATCCAAACACAACATTGTAATATAATTTTTTCATTAATTCATTGCATTGTAAAGTTATACAGTGAGTGCCGATTGATGTTAATGACCAAGTTGGTATTCTAAACAGGTATCTTTTTCATTTTTGTTTTTGTATTCTTTTTTTGTTTACAGGTACTAGATGAACGTGTTGGTATTCTGTGCAAAGGATAACATATAAACCATATATAGTTCGATTGTCAACCATGGACTTTGATGGCACTCTTTTAACTTTCTGGAAGTTTGTGTCTATACCTTCTCACTCTCCTGGCTCCATTCCACGTACAAATAAATCTAGTATACAATAATCCATAAATGTAATTCAAGAGGGAAATAAAAGATTACAATTCATATATTGCAGACCCATGTATAGGTGGGGTTAGGGGTATAACATCGCCGTTCCAAAAAAAATTGATATAATTTACATGTAGTATACACGTTCTATAAACAATAATAGTTCCTGTTTATGCTCCCTCAACTGACATTAACGAGTGATGATCTTTTTCCTGTTGGCAAATTTTCTTATTTTAGTTCGAACCCCCCCCCCCCTCCCCCGAAACTACTTTTTTACGGGGCCTGTGAAATGTACAATAAGTTTCTGTTTGTAGTCGATTTGATAAGATCATTCTACCTAAGCTAAAGTTTTCTTAAAACTAGTTGTAGCATTTAATTGTGTTCAAAAACTGCTGTTTCAACAATTTTAACACAAAGTAATGCATCAATACATGTAATAATGTTTAATTGTTGCTAAACGCTTCTAGTATGATTTTTATATCAATGAAATGAGTTAACCTGGTATAATATTCCGTTACTCTTTCCGCTCTGTTCTCACTTCCGCTTTTTAGTAACACATATACCCGATAAGAGGTTTTAACAAAAAAACCTTCAGAATTAAGGTAGAAAATTTAGGGGCTTCATTTGCTGTATTTTTTGATCTTCGTGAAATTTTAAGAATATGTAATACAAACTTCGTCAAGATAGAAGTTTTTTCTTTGTTTGTTAATCGGTTTTTCCCTAAGATAAAAAAAAATGGAATCATATTAAAACGTACCTGTAGGGAACATCTTTCCTTTTGTACATAAGCCACTAAAAGTGACTCACTCTCTTACAAATTATTTATATAATATCGACAGCTCAATGTCACGGGATTTTTTTTCTAGAAAAATCTTTTTTAATTATTTTTTTTCTCTAATAATAATAAATGCGGATATTTTTAATAATTATTTTAAAGTTGTGCAATTCTGAAAAAAATTAATTGTTATAAACAAATTTTGATAAGACAAAGGAAAGTTATTACATCTTATCAGGAGTATTTTAATTAATGAATTATTATTTGATTTTTAAGCTGTTATCAGACGTTCCAAGCGCAATAACCCCCAAACAACATTATTGATGGAAAACTCTGGACCTTGACCGTGCATGCTATTTTTAAGTTTTTGCGTCATAGGAATCTATCGTTTGTATATTGTGTAAACAGTGGAATTTTTTTGTTGGCAAGATGTACTATAATGAGTGAATTTAAGCCATTTAATAAACGTGCATGTTCTTTCTTAGGGTAAGAAACGACCTTTTTTAAATTTTCTATTTAATTTTTTTTTTGGTTTCAATCTAAACATGCTTAATATAAATGTAGTTCTTTTCAACGTCACGTTTTCGTTTTCATGTAAATAAGAAATTAAAAAAATGGTGGCCTGCAATTAATGCAATGCACTGATCATATTTAGCAGAGGAAATTATTTATTCAGTATACAAATACTAGCTGCATGACACTGAAGACTTTCTCCTTTATTTTTCTAATGAAAACTACATTAATTGGTGTTTATTTGAGGCAAAAATATATCTCTGTTTGGGCTATTTGTAAATGTTTCCTTTTCGACTGAAATTTAAAAGAAATACTGTTTTTTATGTGACGAAAATGTAATCATTGCAAAATCAAAGAAAGGAGGGGGGGGGGTGTAGCCACGCCCAAAATGCCTGTGAATGTTGCAACCGTTATATCCCGAATAAAACATTTTATCGTTAAAATGTATCCTACAGTTGTATATATACGTACAGTAAATGAATAAAGCGTTGGATTTTCTATGTAAAAACCATTTAAAATCCTAAAATTTGAATTTTAAATCCGTATGGTTTTGTACTGTTCCCTGTTAAAAATTTTAAAGTTTACTTATACATGTTATAGTGGGAGTTATACAAATTTTTGAACATGACAGCCGGTTTTAAATTTTACATTCGTTCTCACCAAGAAAAAAAATATTGAACACGACACTTGTCCTAATTTTTGGTATATTTTTTACCTTAACTTATATAGACATACGTTTGTTGAAATCTAAAGCTATATTATACAGTTCTTATTTCTTTCATCCATATCATATTCATCTGATAAATGGTAAATTAAAAGACAATCTGTATTTGTGTTGAATTTTTTTAACGGTAAAGCATAAATCATAAAAACAAATTATAAAATTAAATAAAATCAGAAGAAAAAAGTACCCCCCCCCCCCCTTCAAAAAAAAAAAAAATCACTGTTGGATGACGGAGTTCAACCCACATAAAGTCCCTACACAGAACTAGGTCAGGATTATAACAGAACAGGAAACTATTTCCTCAACCCACGTTTCCCATAAGCATGTGGTTAAACTCATTTTTGTGCATGTAATCAACACTGAATAACAAAAAGATATGCACTTCCCATTGATAGGGGTGAGTTGGAGAAAAGTGAAGAAGTCGTTTGTAATTTACATTCTATTTCATGAATTTATAAGTTGGGTGCCCAGGCAGAAAGAAATGAATTTTTATTACACATGTATGTTAAGAACTATTTAGAACTTCAAGTGCTTCTGGTTAAATGTAATTGTAAAAGTTTTTTTTCCTAATATTTTTTCAGCGAAAGATGACAGTTTTCAAAAAAAAAAAAAAAAAAAAAGATAAATAAATAAATAAAAAAAAAATAAATTGAAAAAAAAAAAAAAACACAAACAAAAACACGGACGATCTTCATGACTTCTGATTCGAAATTACAATTATAGAATTTCGTATCCCGTTATATCCCAAACATTGCATGCGGAAGTCACGTTGTAACAATTTGATA